GGGTCAGGGTCAGGGTCAGGGTCCGGGAGCCAATCTGGAGCGCAGGGTCAGGGTCAGGGTCAGGGTCCCAGAGCACATCTGGAGCGCAGGGTCAGGGTCAGGGTCAGGGTCAGGGTCCTGGTCCCAGAGCACATCTGGAGCGCAGGGCAGAGTCCGAAGGGAGAGCATAAGGGCCAGACTGCACTGAGTCCAAATCATCTCTGAAAACCCGACGGTTCCCAAACAGCGCGGCGTGTGAGAGCCCACGTCCACGCCCCAGTATGAGGGCACGGAGCTAACCCAAGTAAGGTCGCACGGAAGGCAGACCCCCCCCCAGACGCTGGCGGCCGCGCCTTGACCCGGGGCTTCTCGGTGAGCCGCACACCTCTGCTCCTGTGACCCGCCCCGCAGGGCTGCTTCCTTACAGCCACCCCATGGAACAAGTGGCCACATTCTCCAGTTGGGACACTGCACATGAAAACCTGGACTTGCACTTTCGTATGGAATCTCTGAAGTTCTGGTCGCACGGATTCACACGGCAGCTGGGAACCCATGTCAGCGTTAAGAAGCAGCTGGCCCGGGATGGGCATGCACCCAGGCCACCGCTGCCTACTCCTGCCTCTGAGGGCGGTCAGGGATCCCACCTCTTAAGAAAAGCTACGTGGAGTTGGCACCGGGGCATAGCGGTCCCTGCGCGCCCTTTGAAAGCCGAGCTGGAACACTCACAGAGCCCACCTCCCTGCCACAGGAGGCTTTAGGGAAGGGAACCTCGGTGCCTACCGTTCACTATCGACTGGGGCTCCAGGTCTGCACCGTCGGCTGTCAGCGTGGAGAAGACGGATACAACTGGCCGTGCAGGAGCCATCAAATCACCTCCGTCTTGTAGGAAGGAACCTCAAGGGTGAGGTAGCGTCCCATTGCCCCCTAGGGCATCGGTCCGCTCTGCACCGGCTTTGCGTATTCCAGCGCGCTCTCCTCCGACCAGGTGTGCCCAACTGTGACACAGGTGTGTGTGCGTACACATGTGCGCGCAGTTCCTGATAACCTTATCTAGCCCGCCATTCTCCTGTATTTGACTCTTGCTCACTAAGTTACATTGTTTTTCCCCCTTGAAAAGGTTTACCTTTCTGAAAATCCTAATTTGTTAAAGACAGCCGTGGGCACGCTCTCACTGGGACACCAGCTTCCAGGGTGCTCCTGTGAGCTGCCGCAGGAGCCAGGGACACCGACCCTCCAGTCCCCCTGTCAAGCCTCAAATCAGGAGGGGATTTCAGACTAGCCGGCTTGGGAAGAAAACAAATCCCAGCTGAGGATGATCCAGCCGAAACCAGAGCCGGCCGTGCGGCGCCCGAAGTGCAGCCGCAGCTGCCACACGGTGCCTCTGCTCACGGCGCACCTGCCCTTTCAATTCACTCCGGACCACTGGTTCCATCCACCCATCCGCACTGGCCCAACTGCTCATTTCCAACCGCTTGGCCTAATTCCTGCAGCCGCAGAGGCTGGTCTGCTCTGCTCCCTCGTCACATCCTGGGGGCTCCACGCTGACATCCTTAAAAGAATTTAGAAATAAATCTAATAGAGGGCCTTTCACGCCACAGAACTGTTTATGTGAATTCCAGCGAGAGGCACACAGCTGGAATTGGAGTGGGTCTGTGGTTCTAAGCTCTTAGGCCGCCACGTACCCCATGCGGGCTGCGCCGTGCTGTTACGGCGTGGCCGGAGCACCTCCGAGAGCTGCCACGCCCGGGTTAAATGCTGGACCCTGGAGCAGCAGGATGGTGAGCTGTAAAAATGGAAAGCCGAAGCACCCAAGCCGCAGGGGAGCCCCTCGTCCCCACACGCAGTTGCACCCTGAGGACCGCTGCGGCGGGCCCTCCACCTGGATGAGGAAGGGGGACGTCCAGGGAAGCCCCTCGTCCCCACACGCGGCTGCACCCTGAGGACCGCTGCGGCGGGCCCTCCACCTGGACGAGGAAGGGGGACGTCCAGGGCAGACTGAAACGGGAACCTCAGGGCATTCGCCAACTGGTCGGGAGTTCAGGACTTGAACCTGGAAAGAGGCCGGCTGTCAGACGGTCACATGGAGGTCACTGCAGTTGTTAGCGTGGGCACAAGTACAATGCAGTTTTGTGCCTGTCTGAGAGGGCGAGCTCAAGAGAAAACGGTTCTTTAATGGGAGACCTGGCAAGGAACATCATGATCCCTTACGAAACAGGGAAGGGCGGAGCTGGCCATTCGGAAAGGGCCAGCCAGGCTACCCAAGAAGCTGGGGGGCTCCCCAACGAGGAAGCACGGCCTTCCCAAAGGTCCAAACAGAACGCCTGGCTTCCTGCGTGGTCGTGGCTGTGGAGTCGGTATTTCGCGTCTCACCGGGGAGTCAGCGAGTCAGCTGTTCTGCGAAGTCAAGACCGTTTCTCTTCCATGCCTCCATCTGTCCCATTGCAATGAGGTGTTCTGTGTGTGTATGTGTATGTATGTGTGCATGCATATGTGCGCATGTGTGTATGTGTATATGTGTGTGTGTGTATGTGTATGTATGTGTGCATGCATATGTGTGCATGTGTGTATGTGTATATGTGTGTGAGTGTATGTGTGTATGTGTATATGTGTGTGCGTGCACGTGTGTGTTTATGTGTGAGTGTGTGTATGTGTGTGTTTGTATGTGCATATGTATATGTGTGTGAGTGTATGTGTGTATATGTGTGTTTGTGCATGTGCATGTGTATATGTGAGTGTATGTGTGTGTGTATGTGTGTGTGCGTGCACGTGTGTGTGTATGAGGGTCGCCTGTGTCAGTGGCATCTCCAGTGTGACCCTCTGGGCTCTGGGACCACACAGACTGGGCTGGGGAGGGGATCGCAACACAGCGGTTAAACCCTGTGTATACAAAGCCAGACCCTACAGGGCCGGCCAGGGTTCAAATCTCAGCCCCCGTGATGTGAAAACACAGTGGGTGTGAGTGCGTGCGTGCCCAAGTCCTACTGGAATGGGAAAACGGAGGGACAGGGTGTGGCCTGGCCACATGGCGCGGTGAGTGTTCTCTCACGCCCACACACGCATGCAGCTACATCTGCCCACCAGCAATGGAAGAGGAAAAGAAAACAATGCAGAAAGACAGAGAGGCCAGCAAGTGGCTAAAGTGCTGGACTCCAGGCGGCCAACCAGGTTTCGAGTCTCAGACCTGGCGGCTGGAACACCACGCAGGGTGCAAGTGCATGCATGCCCAAGACCGCGGCGTGGCCGTCCCACACACAGGCGTGGAGGTGGGATGGGCTGGGTCCACTCAGATGTTTTTAAAATGTTTTTAATTAAAAAGGAACGTCTTCTTTCTTGGGGGGTGGGGGCACGAACCCAAGGCTTTCCTCTGTGGTCCAGTTGTGTGTTACCATGGCTTCATCGCGACACCTCCTCAACCAGAACACGCAGATCACCTTCTCACGGAGGTGATTTCTCACTTCCCTTCCTCTGTCACTCAAGAGCACACACGCCCTACGACAAAAACTCATAGAGAGACAGAGCCACACGTAAAATTTACCCGTGGTGCTCCCGTGGCCACAGACAGACCAAGCCTGGGTGCGAGGCGGGTCCCGAGAGCCCACCATGCAGCCCTCTGGTGGCTTCTGCTTCTGCCTGACACTCGTCCTCCGTCCTGCAGCAGAACCCGGTCCCGGTGGGAGGAGCCAGAGATGCAGAAAACAGACTCGCCCATAAATGCGCGAGAGGAGACAGAGGACGTTCAGGACCGAAACGAGAGGGAGGCCCTGGAGACCGGCCCCCGGTGAAGCCCGCCCTCCCTGGCACAGCCTGTGGACGGCTGCTCTGCAAAGGTGCAGGAGTCCAGGGACAGACTCCAGGAGAGGGCGCTGGGGGCAAAGGCGTGAAGGGAGCCGCACTTGGGGACAGGGCCATGAACACAGGCGGGCCAGCACACCCAGCTCAGTGGGGGCAGGACTAGGAGGTGCGCCCAGAAGCGGGAGCCCACGACTGCGGTCAACAGGCCTGGAAGGAATGGGGTGCTACCGGAAGCATGAGGGTCTGACTTCTAACTCCTTTTCCTCAGCATCCTGGCTGACTCCATGTTTGCAGGGCAGGCCTGGCCACAGCAGAGACCAGGCCGGTGGTGAGGGCCGGAACTTCAGGCTCACTCTGCAGCCTCGGGAGGGAAGGGCCGCGAGTGACAGAGCCCCTGCAGGGAACAAGCCCCACGGAGACTCCGCCATCCAGGCTGCGACACTGTGGTGAACGACGCAGCCATGAGTGGGGACAGTGATGGCCCCACACAAGGAGGGAGCGAGGTGGCTCTCTGTGCCCTCCGGCCCCCAGAACTTGCCTGAGTCCCCTCCATTGGGCTATCCCTGAGTCTCCTCCTTATTACAAAGCGATCACTCTTACACTGTGCACCACTCTCAGGGGCTTCTGTGAGGAGTTCTGGAGGATTACGGAGCCTGAGGGGGGCCCTGGGGCTACCACACTGTACCAGGTCAGATGGAATGTGTGTAGCCGGGACTCCACATGCTGCCGGAGTCTGCGTGGGGCGGTCGTGTCTGGGACCTTGCTGCCCTAGGGTCCGCACTGACACGGGAGGGCAGTCAGGGCTGGCATGAACTGCAGGACACCCACAGGAACAGTCGGGGTGGAACACGGCTGATCCCTGTCCCCACGGAGCTCTCAGGCTGGTGCCCTGAAATCCCGGCCGGGAGACACCCCTGCACTGTGAGTGAACCACTGACCTGGGCTGGAGTCTCGGCCCGCCTGCAGCCTGGGCAGGGCTGAGGCCAAGGAAATGACTCGCAGGAACAACTGGAGGACAAGTTCGGCCTGCCTCGAGTGCAGTGGGTGAGGTCGGAGCCGCGCCGGAACACTCCGAGAGAGACGCGCTCTTTTCTACCGCCCCGCTGGGGGGGAGGGGGGGCGGAAGCAACCAGAAGCCAGCGACCCCCGGCACGAGGGCAGACCTGCCTGGATGGAGCGCCTGAGGAAGCAAGGCCAGGCGGAGGAAGGAGTTCGAGTCTTGAGGACGCGTCCAGCCTAGCTGGACAGCAGAGTACCTTTGGCCTTCTTACTGTAAAAAGGCAGTAAATCCCCTTTCTGTCTCAGCCAGCTGGAGTTGGGTTTTCTACCACTCGCCTCCTAGCGATTCCTGAAAAGTACGCACGTTGAAATCCACTTAGTTTCTATGGAGCAGCGGCAGCACAGGGCCCTCTGAAGTCAGGGCCCTTCCATGGTGCGGGACCAGCGCAGACCGGCTGCAGGGGCAGCGCTGCGCCTCCAGGATTTAGCAAAGGGCGGTGAATTCCCGGTCGCTCGAATTAGCCGTGCGCTGTGAGCAAGCGTTCTCTCAATCACTGACACACGCCGTGGGTTCTGGACATCAGTTCCTAAAACCATCTTCAACTGCACACGAAGTTCGAGGTCAGGCTTCCCCTGCCAGCCGGCCTCTGGAGGCCTGGGCTCCAGGAAGTGGGAGGGGAAGTTCGGGGACGGGCTGGCTGGGAGCCCTGGGCTGTACGCTTTCTCCAAAGGCTGCACCCTGACTGGGAGAAGCGCGGCTCCTCCGAGTCACCTGACTCTTCCGAGTCCCAGGACACACCCTGGCAGGCACCCGCCAGCAGCTCCGAGCTAGGACCCACACAGGGTCACTGTCTAGTTCAGGGACTTCTCGGTGCCAACAGCAGGTTACACTAACGGGCTAGACCCCTCCACGGAGCGGCCCTCGTACAACAGTGCCCCCCAGAAAGAGCAGGGGTTCAGGGGAACCAGCGTCCAACTCAGTTTGTACAAGAGGCGGGAACGAGGGCACACAGCAGGCTGGCCGGGAGCTCTCTGGTCATGCACGTTTGAGTCTGCGGTTTGGACAGCACGGTCCACAGTCACGCATGCCCTGTGCAGGTCCCAGCGGTAGTATTGTCCC